GCAGAAAGCATACTGGCCGGAAAGTACTGAAATGAGCAAGTGACTAGACATGAACATATTAGCGTAACAACTTAAATAGTCATGCTTGACAATATAACAAACAAACTAAAAGCAGAATACCGTTCTTTATTTTCATTTTGTTATTGTTCAGCGCAAAGGTCTTAAACATTACACTGATCGGTTATTTAAAATTATGATAGTAAAAGTATTTAAAACCCTTTTTAATTTCTTTACAAATAGTTATTATCACTAACTTATATTTTCCATGCATGATTAGTCGTACTTTATTTAAAATATTTTTGACTGCTGGATATGTCTCTCCGTTTTTCAGAATCAGAAACATGTAGAACTGTATAATACATGTTCCAATGATGTTTTGTTCAACATTATAGACACGGCATTTTGTAATCGGAGAAAACAACTTTAATATTTTATTATCTCATTAATGACAAAGCTTTTTATTTTGCCATAGCATGGATATTAACACTATAAATCTATAAGAACAATAATTACAAAACTGAAAACAAAACACTCCTGATATCTTATAGAGAATATAAAAGATCGCTGTATCAAATGTACGGGATACATTATACTTAATACTGTACTCGAATAGCTTATATATTAAGATTAAACAAGAATTAAATGATACCAAAGATTATATTCTTAAAAAATACGGAATGAAAAATGTTTCTGTTGCTCTTTGTAACCAGGGGAAACTATTCTGTCCATTTTTACACGTTTATTATTTCCACCGGGTTCACATGTGGGGATCACAGGTCCATCCGCTCGTCAATCCTTTATTCTGACCTTTTCAAGAAATATGGATCAGTCATCTCTCAGAAAGAAAGTGTGTGTTTTTTGTTTTTTGCCTCAGAAGAAAACTGGATTCTTCCATAACTCAAAATTAATAAAAGTTAGGTTGGAGAAACATAGTGTGAAGAGGGCATTATGGAGATTTGGTACAGCTTTACATTTTTTTATCTGTTCGACTGTTTGTCTGTCATTCTGTATGTCCGCAGAAATGCTGATATAAAACCATATGAAAGATATAAATAAAGAGAAAATGTAAAAAAGACAATCATGTGGTCATTTTGTATTATCTTATCAATAACAAGAAATTGATATAGATACAACGGTTATTAGAAATGAATTAAAAATGTAGTAAAGAAACCTTTTTAAAAAAAAACAAAACAAAAACAATTAAACTTTATACAGCCTCATTTACTCTTATAAAACAATTACCTAATTGAAATTTTAATTTTCAAAGATTAAATTCAAACTTATTCAAAGAGTTATACAATTTCTTACATGAAATATTAACACACACGTAAAATATTCACTTACAGTAACAGAAATAGAATTTTAAATAACTTAATGTCAGTTCAAATAATTATTCCTTCATAACCCATGTATCACAACTAGTATCTTAAACTGACTTGGCCATTCTTCAATGTTTAATAAACCATAATTATTAGAGACCATTTTGGTAAACGTGCTAACTAAATAGCGAAGAGTGCAGACCACGATCAGATGGCAGGGATGTACCAGCTGATCTTGTCTGGCTGGACATATTTGTAAAAAAATTTGTTGCCGCGGGCAGACGAAGGGTAGGAGATATACAATGATGACAAATGTACAAGTAAATAGATAAATTGATTGTTCTTGTCTTTCTGATCTCAATCAGAGAAGTTTATGTTCATACAGAATCCACATATACATTGCAACAGTTACTCATTCAATAACCAATAAACATCCAATGAAATATTCAATCCACATAAGGATTTTGTAATGCAAAAATCTTACGGGAGAAGGATTAATTTTATGACAAAAACATCAATTCTCATGTTTCTTTAAAACACAAAAATGTCAGTGTCTAAAGCAAACAAAGTAAACTCCCCTTTATTTCTGTATAAGCAAAATACAGCATCTTTAATTTGTTAATATATAATTATTCCCTTTTCTAATGATAAACTTCTTATATAAAGAAAGCTATAGAAATTGCATCAATGCTTACATTACAATCTTAAAATAACATTATATTAGTATAATCAAGTCAGGTTATATGCTGGGATGAAAAGTGTGTGTTTTTTGTTTATTGCCTCAAATGAAAAAAACAACAAATATTTAAATATTTAATACATTCAACATAACGAGCCAATAATATTTCAAATTTTCAGAATGGTAATTTAGATTTTTATTTTTATCTCTTTCAATGCTAAAAGCTTAACAAACAAGCCTTTACTTAAAGTATTAACCAATTTGGAAATGGCTTACTGCTGCCCGATCCACACTAAATTTTCATTTTTATATAACCATAAAATCTATATCGGACTGTCCAAAAAACCAGAATGAGTTATGCCTTAATTTGAAAAAAAAACAGTTAGATATCAAAGATTTTCTTAATCTAATGAAAAAAAGCTTAGCCTAGATTAAAGCAAAGATAATCAATTTTCAGATATTATCACCTTAATGCAGTAACGAGTTTACACCTTATAAAATTTGATAGCAGTTAAACCGCTACTGTTCTTGGTGGATAATATATTCTATAAAAATGATATTTTATTATCGTTAATTGACCAAAATTGCTACATGATTTCACAGAGTATTGTCAGGACTTTCACATGACATATATTTTCATTACTGTCAATTTACGTTATTTGTTTCAGAAGACTTTTCCTCATATACTTACATACCTAACAAAAGCAACTTTCATTCATTACAATTAGACAATTTAGACCATTTGTACTTATCAACCTTTAAACTTGCTGAAATTGAATAATTGATTTGCCCATCTTTGAATTTGGCACAATCCATTCAAAGGTTAGGGATTTCAATATCAAAAACAAAAATTTAGTAACAAACAGCAAAAGCCAAAACACTAAAACAAGGAAGATCTTGTAGGCAAAATCATGATCTTTCAAATTCAGAAATGCGTTTCAGGCAGTCGAAATATATTTATTGCTGGAATTATGGGTCTTTGTCATTAATTAGCAACTATATATCAGGTATCATTACAAACACACTTCTTAAAGTTTAAAGTGAATACCTTCAGGCAATAATGAAATATAAAGTTTGCATCAATAAAGTAGTATCAGGTAGTGAAGAATTGCCTTGCCCTTCCATGTACAATGTAGCTAATAACACAGTAAAACTTACTCGTCTACCACTTTTCTCGCCTCTGGTTCAAAATGTACTGAACTTCAAAGTCTCCAAATAAAATAAAATAGAAATAGTGAAAAACAGAATCTTTGAAGAAAGCCCAACACGGCATAACTGTAAAATGTTGCAGGCTCGGTTTGATTGAGCCTGTTCATGGACGGCAATGGAAAGTGTAAGTTACCGTCTACGCCCCCTAGCACCGGCTTAAGCAGAATTCACCATTTAAACATTAAAATGGTGAAATTTGAATATAGAAACATCCACAGACTTCTGGTTCCCCGTTGGCTAAAGATTTTTGTAACAATCATCATATCCATGGTTGTCGGCTTGTCTGGCAACATTTTCAATATATGATTCTCCTCAAGTGGAGTCTGAAAAACTCAAAAAGTAAAATTAGTCTAACATACCTGTGGTTTAACAAATTACAATGGCTTTCAGAAGAAAGATTTGTAAAAATGGTCTAAAGCTTAACTCTCTTACAGTAAATAGGATTCCTGATCAATTTTGTATCATAAGGAAAATTGTGTTAAAATCAATGATTATTTCCTTCTAAAATAAAACCGATATGCAAAGCAGCAGGCAAATAGCCTTGCCTTTTTTATAGCAAAATATTGTTCTTGTTTTGTTTTTCTACAAAAATCAAGGACTCAATTTATGTTTGAAAGAAAACCAAATCGCAAAAGGAAAAAAAGTTCCAATGACTGCCATTTATAATAAATAATAAAATTAGGCTAACCTTACCTTTTTGGGGCGTTCCTGTCAACAAAGCTGAGTAGTTTGGCGGGAATGGAATGCGTACTCGGCGTAGATGAGGCGTGTGACAAACTGCATGTAAATATGATTGACGTAAGAACTGACTGTAAATTTGGTCCTTTTGATGAGAAGTTTCCATTGCCTGTATACCGTGTAAATATACAAAAATTATCATAAAGACGACCTTTGTATTTACATTTGTTTTAAGATAATTTTGTCATAACCTGCAATTATTAGAATTTGCAACTACAAGAAATAAAAATAACATGCAAAAGTCATTCATAAGAGGTTTGATTCTGTAACAATTTTGGACAATTATGGGCCTTGGTCAGTGACCTATAATAATGACTCAGATAACTTGTGGAGTTCAAATGCAATTAATGGTCACACTGACATATTCGATTTTTTTTTCAAGAATTCCTTACGATTTTTCTGCCAAGAATATTTGTCCTTTTGTTCTGAAAAGCAGCAGGAGTTATATCCCTTGACCTACCAGCAACCACTTTTTTGTCTTTCCTTAACTAGCTCAGCTTCCAACCTTGCAACTCCCAGTCACCAGTGATCTTATCTGCATTATCTGAAATAAATCATAGCAAAATGTAAGATGATAACAAAAGTCTATATCAATGGCTTTTTGGGATAATTATTTGATACATCTGAAACTAATATTACAAAGTTGTCTGAAAGCAAATTTACATACCCATACAATTAGTTCATTTATTATATACTTATAAATGAAAGATTGAGAAATATTGATGAAATAAAACGCGTATTTTCATTTTCCGTATTTTCACTGTAAAAATTTATTTTTCACTGCAGTGAAACATATTTTCCGTATTTTCACTGGTGTTTTGCCGGACTACTTTCTTCTAAATTCACAGCAGTTTAATAATTTTTTTAAAAAGGGAAAAAAAATAATTTATAATAATTTTATAATCAAAAACAATTCAGTACAAAAAAGAGTGTCCCTTTAACAAATTTCTGTTCTATTCAGTTCTATTCCTTACATAAAATCTGTATCAATAGATGCTTATTAGACTAATAGTAACTATGTCAAAAGCTTGAAAATCAGTTTTGTCTTCTGCAAAATGTCACAAGAAAGCAACATTGAGTTAGACATTGAAATAGACAATGAAGAAGATGAGTTCTTGGCCAACATTGATTTTCATTTGATTGAGGCAGCTATGATCTTGCAACAGGATGATGAATCAGTTCCAAATAATGTCAATGAGAATGAACCGGTAGTTCTTCCTTCTGAACAAGATGAAGATGTCAGCAACATAATAAATATTGGTAATCCACGATTTGTTACTTCAAATTTCTTGAAGATGGCATTAATAAGAATACTAAATTTAAAACTGACCAAGACATTAAATTATTCCAAGAAATTTTGGTCTCTGTGGCTGAAAGTAGGCCAATACTTCAAATCCCTCCTGAAGAGTTATCTGCCTATGTGAGTAGTTTTATATATGCAGTAAGGAAAAAAGATGGCCAGGAATATGAGCCAAACTCTCTAATATCAAAGTTCCAAAGCATTCAAAGGTTTCTAAATGTGAACCAATATGGCTTTTCACTATCCAAAGATCAGGTTTTCCAGAAATGTAAGCAGGTGTTGAAAGCAAAAACAAAACACTTAAAATCACAAGGCAAAGGCAACAACCCAAATGCTGCTGCTGCCATAACATCCGACGTAAAATGTTGCAGAGAAATTCTATGCAGCTGACCAGCTTGGTGGAAACAATCCTAGAGCACTTCAAAACTCTATGTGGTTTATTTGCACCAATTTTATTGGTATGCGGACTGGCACAGAGGTTCATTCTCTTTGTTGGGGAGATGTAAAGTTGATGTCTGATGATGATGGCTCCGAATATCTGGTGTATTGTCAGGAGCGCCAAACCAAAACTAGGACTGGGGCTTATCCTCGTGACCAAAGAAAAATAAAGCCAAGAGCTTATGAAGTTATTGAAAATCCGGCACGTTGTCCAGTGGCTTTATATAAGCAATTTGCTAATAGCCGTCAAGAAGCAATGTTGGAGCCAAACTCTCCATTCTTCCTAACTGTAGCTTCTAACGTACCTGAAAATGAAAAACCTTGGTATAAGAAATGTACCATGGGGATTAACAAAATATACAGCATAATGAAGGATATGAAGCATGCAACAAACATAGATAAGCCAAATTTAACACCATACAGGCAAGTAATAAATAAAAATTGAATTTAAACATATTAATAGGAAAAAAAGTTTTAATAATTCATATTTTCACAATGTTAAACCTATAAACAGTATACAAATTAGAAAAATTATATAAAATTATTTTTTGAATTAAATTAAACACATTTTTATTTCAAATCTTAATTAAAACAAACTGTGGCATGTAAATTACTATTTAACCATAAATCTTGTTTTATATATTTGAAAAATCATGCAAAAATTACTTTTACAACTTTCTTTAACATAAATCAGAGAAATCTTCTTTAAAATATATTTCAATAAAATAAAAAAAAACCAATTTAACCGTCCTCACTGTTTTATTAATTTGAAAGTTTGTGCGAACATTATTACGGTAGATTTACTATTAGAATTTCATTTGAAAACAAGTCGACAACAAAATTCCTCATAAGTAATTCTGTCGGCAATTTAAAAAAATGTTATACATGAAAAAATGATTACATAAAATAAAGTGTTCTATATGTCGTCAAATATCTATAATATTTCTTTATTTTTTTAATTAATGAATTTTCAATTACATTAAATGCTGCTAGCTTCTTTTGTTTAATAATTAGATTTAAAAATATTGTGATTGACTTAAAAATTTGATTGACTTTGCTTTAAAGTTTAATGTATAAAAAAATTAAAAAATACCATTTATTTACAGTGTAAGGAAAGGAATGGTACAGACATTAAATTATGCTGGCGTTGCACCCAACCACATCATTCAGATTAGTGGCCACAAAAATGTAAACATTGTCAACAATTACAGCACGTTGAATGAAAGTCAACAGAAAGATATTTAAAGGACATTGAGTAAATTACCTCCAAACACCTGCACTAAATCAAGAGATATCTCAGCTCCACACCACGTTTACGCCAGTCGTCAGCACACAGAGACTCATATCAGTGACCACGTTCAACAACCGGCTCCCAGGAATCCGTATGACTTTTTAGGTGTTTTTTTTCAGTGGAAACCAGATCAGTGGAAATATCAATGTCCATTTCCACACAAGTAACATGTCTAACACATCAAATTCAAATGTTTAGGCCATCATGAACTCTCCACCAGTAAGGAAACGCCGAAGGATACTTCCAATAGACTCTGACTCAGAATAAACTGTCTTTGGAAGATTAGCATCAGTGATCCAATTATGTTGATTAAAGTTAATTCCTGTTTTGAAACATTTTACTGTTACACATGTTTTGATCTGTTGATCATCTGATGTCACTGATTGTCGCCCTTGGCACAGTTGAAACACATAAATAAGTTATAATTTTAATACACATATTGACAGTCTATAATTTGATGTTCATATGCTGTAATAAACGTTTTCTCACATTTCAGATGTGTTTCCCCTATTCCTCCCTCCGTAATGACATAAATTTGTCCAAATTAATGCGTGTCTGCTAATCAACATGCCTTCTTTCGCAAAATGGCGTCAACAATGATCCAGAAGCGGATGAATTTAAAGCTTTTGAAAACAACCATTTTTAAATTTTCAAATTAATATTAATAGAATAAAAATCTGCTGTTAATCTAAAAGTTACCTAAAATTAATAAATCGTTCTCAAAGGTGAATTATCCCAATCTAGCGGAAGAATTTTTTTAGAGCGTTATAAATAAAAAAAGAGCTAAAGTCGTTGTGCGGTTCAGGCAATACACAAAATTAAAGGGGAAGTCTTGTCAATCGTAAGGTTGAAAATGAGAAAAAGTATATAATAAACAGAAATTTAAAGTTTTTTCTTTAGATACGTAATTCATTTTCATCTCGTGGTATGAAAAGTTTCATATTACACTCGTCGCTACCGCCACTCGTGAACTATTTATTTTCATACCACTCAATGAAAATAAATTACGTATTTAAAGAAAAAACTTGAATATCCTCTATATATTTACTTTTTAGCTCGACTATTCGATAAGAATAAGTAAAGCTATTGTAGTCACCCGAGCGTCGGCGTCGGTGTCGGCGTCGGCGTCTGCGTCGGCGTAACCACTTATGTTAAAGTTTTTGTAATAGTTTTAATATTTTCAAAGTCCATTGACACATGGCTTTGAAACTTTGCACACTTGTTCATCATCATTACCCCAACCTGTAGACAGGAGGAGGTAACTCTATCAAGCATTTTGACAGAATTATGCCCCTTTTCCGACTTAGAATTTACGTTAAAGTTTTTGTAATACCTCAAATATTTTCAAAGTCCATTGACATATGGCTTTGAAATTTTGCACACTTGTTCACCTTCATGACCTCAACCTGTAGACAGGAGGAGGTAAATCAATAAAGCATTTTGACAGAATTATGCCCCTTTTAACAACTTAGAATTTACATTAAAGTTTTTGTAATACCTCAAATATTTTCAAAGTCCATTGACATATGGCTTTGAAACATTGCACACTTATTCACCATCATGACTCCAACATGTGGACAGGAGGAGGTAACTCTATCAAGCATTTTGACAAAATTATGCCCCTTTTTCGACTTAGAATTTACGTTAAAGTTTTTGTAATACCTCAAAATTCATTGACATAAGGCTTTGAAACATGTTGAAATTTTATACTTTTCTTTGAGAGCATAATAAGACTCTCTCCAAGGCCTATAACTGTAATATGGATTTAAAGAAAAATTTTGCCTTTTTCTTTACTTAGAAAATTTGACCTTTTAATCAAGGCTTTTTTTACTATCAAGCACTAAGAATAGTCGAGCATTGCTGTCCTACCGACAGCTCTTGCTTATCATGCAACCATACACCATTCACATTAAAAAATGAAAACATATTGTGCATACATAATCTATACATAATCATACAAAATGCACTATGATGCTCTGCATTTTAGGGGCTATATTATGTCCTGTGACCTTGAAAAATAATCAGCATTGCTAGCAATGAATTTTGTATCTCTGTATAGAGTCAATATGTTAATATCCATAACTACCATAATGACACAGAAAAACGACTGTGGTTGGGCATCTATAGAACCCTTACTGTTAAAAATCTTGTAACTAATTCTTTAATGGTTTTACATCATAAATATAATGCTTATTATGAAGATTTATCAATATTGTAAGTTCCAAAAAGCAATATTTGTAAAGATATTTACGAATTTGTATTTCATATTAATAATGGGAGGTTATTGGAAATTTATTTTCCATAAAGTGTAAGTCAATTCTTCGATAAGTAATAAATACACATATTTCAATGATTATATAATGTGGACACATATTTGCAGTACATATTTTACATATTCTTCGATGTTTGAAATTTGTTTTAGAAGCATAATTTTATACACATATACAATTTCACTTAAGTGTGGTAACAACCTTAAATACAACATACAGGATCTTTAAATTTGTTGAAAACTTCATGTGTAAGACCTACTTGCCCTGATAAAAAGAATATCTCATTTGTTGTCAAATTGACATAAAATATATATAAACTTTACCAAAGAACATGCATGCACAATGGTCGCACTCTGGCATTTTTTGAAACAATTAATAAAATCTCATATCACATGAAACATTTTATGACATTTTATATTTTATAAAAGTAATTGCCCTAACCAAAGTATAAGTCTACTAATTGTTAATGGGATTGTATAATAAGAGTTCATCACCACGGAAATGGTAACCCGGCAAAACTGAATGATGTTGGCTGGCTTGTTTCAGAAAGTTAGGACTTGAACGTTATCAACATAATTTACATAAACTTATTTCATTATTAAGTTAAAATAAATATGTGTAAACTGAAACATTACTTTTTAAACTCATAATATGATTTTAATAACAATCATAGGCAATAAAGTGATAAAATGCTCATAAAGGTAATTATGGTAAGTGAACAAGTAAAAAGTCAAAATAACTTGACGATATGCCATTTTTGCGTTCAATTTTAAACCTGAATATTATATAAATATTCAATAATCTGAATGGACAACGAAAATTTTTATACATTTCCCTCGGAACGTATTACTAATGTTGAATTATTAAAAAAGAGAGTGGCAGTTTTTTTAAATTGTAGTTATTGTTGTTTTGTATTTGTATTGTAACATGTTTCAATATCAATAATTGGTCAGTCATCATTATGGACTCCGATCCTTTGAAGTATAATTATAACAATTCAACTTAATTTGACATTAAAAATGAGTAAATGAGTCAATTAAAGGAAATGATAATCTATAAATTACCATACTTTGACTTAATTACAAAAAAGAATGTCTTTAAAAATTACCACAAAATATCTCTAGCAAGCTATTAACATACCCTCGCCTGATGAGCTCAAACATTCCTTTGATCCCAATATTCATAGTTTTATCTACCCAGCCATAACTCTAAACCTCGTCTGTATAAAACAAATTGTTCATTGTACATGTATGTTAATTGTTTCAAAATTGTTTCTACATTACGTTTATTCAATGGGCACTGATGTATTTGAATACTATCCTTTCATACTCGCACTCAGGTTTCAACCTTTATGTTTGTAAAAAGAACATTCATTAAAATGGTCACGTGACTGTGTCGCACCAGACAGAGAAAATTAATACTGACTTATAAACATTATACCCTTAATTTATTTATTGCAAGATTATTACACTTTTAAGCAGTTAAATGGTTATAGACAGAGACTTTCAGTCATCAACCTGTACACATCAAATAACATGAATTTCATATCATAAATAACAGAATTGGCATCTTGTCAATTTATAATCTGACAGCATGTTTATCATATTTAATTTATTGAGCCAAATAATTATTTATAAATAAAATATTGATTTTCTTTTTGTAGAAATAGGCTCCCCTGGACTAGTAATTTATCAGCTTACCTATCAATGATAAGTTTTTATTGTGTGCTAGCTTATTTTCTTTCATTGGCCATATTCTTGTCTCTGCCATAACATTGGTTATGACTGTTAGAAATAGAGAATAACAGGTTACTGTCTTTTGAGAAAGGGTTTCTCAGACGAGGTTAGATATGGTCCTGGAAGGGGCGAGGCTTGCCGAGCCCCTTCCGGACCATATCTAGCCGAGTCTGAGAAATCCCTTTCTCAAAAGACAGTAACCTGTTATTCTTTTTATCATGCCACTATTATGATTTTGTATCTTTTTTTTTTAATTCGGTGCGCTAATTTCTGAAAATACGGTAACCACTTTGTACAAGAGGGTTATACGCCAAAAAAGTAGTCCGAGGGTTTTTACCAATAATTTTATAACACAACACAATTTTTGGTACAATTTGCTTTAACAATTTATTTACTGTGTATTATCATAAATATTTAGCAAAGTCAATTAAACAATACCAACAATAAACATCATCAGTGCTGATCTGGCGTAGGAACATATTACCATTTCAACAAATTTAGCAAATGGCCGCCGGCTGAAACAGACATAAACTGGAGAATTTAATTGCGCTTTAACAGGATAACAAGTGTGATTTTTAAAGCTATTAAGGAGATTAACACAAAAAGAACAATGTTTTACAAACTGTTAGCCAGAAATTAACAGTTTAACAGTTAACATAACGGATTTGGACGAAGGAGTCTCGGTCACATGTTCACCTGTTCACCTCAGCTGTTCAGCGGAAATATTTTAAAACTGTTCAATTACGACTGCTACTGTCTTGATCGTTCCTTGGAGGCATGCTGTACATATTAAAATTCTGTATATGGACAGTAGCACCAAAAAACATTGACTGCACATGACCTGGAGCATTTCCAGCCTGAGTGAAATGGGTGGGGTAATTAACAGTTGGAACATTGACTACCTGAGACTGAGTGTTTGGAGCAGAGACAGGAGGTTCGATTTGTGTAGATGGCAAAACAGGCAGCGGAGACTGCATTGGGACAGAAGTGCTATTGTCAAGGTAAAAAGCATTTGTACATGTTGCAGATTTATTTGTATTAATTGATCTCAATGAAGTGGCAGATCTGCTTAAGATATTAGAGCAAGTTTTTTGCTTTTTCAAAGACATATTGCTGTAATTGATTATGCTTTGTACACATTCATGCCCAGTGATCTGCATAATATCAGTAGGTGCCTGGTCCGAATCCATGAGCTTTTGTATAGTGTGTTTTCTGGCAGAATGGTTGGTAAGGTGCCGTGTTATGCCTGATTTTACAGTCATTGTTTTCATAAGTGTGCCAATTTTTTTTATTCCAACCCGCTGTTTTAAAAACCATTGGTCAAATTCTGTAGGTGGGGTTGTTCTTGGTGCCAAATAAAATGGGTCCGAATCCCGACTGAATCTATGTGGACGCTTTGCCGCATAGTATCTGTAGGCAGATACCGGATCCCGCTCATCTCCACTAGACCACATACGTGGAGGAACCTTCCTAGAACCACCGCTGTCTCCAGTGCGTGTTTTAGTCTGGCGCTCTGTAAGTTCCAGAAACTCAGTGCCCTCCGCATCGATCTTTACTTGTACGTCGCCCCAACTGAAAACAATATTTTTATATGTGCAATTTTTAATATAAATACATGTTAATTTATGCCTTTTTTTTTTTTAGTTTTAAGTATGCAACTAAAATTATAAATTTATTCCAATTTCAGGTTGTGAAACGGTGAAGCTCGGCCACATGAAATTTCATTTTGAATGGCATTCTGAACATCCTTAAAGTTTACGTTCCAGAAAAACGTTACTAGAAGATTTTGAGATAAGTGATTTTGAAATAAAAAAGTTTTTTATGCATTTTAATTTTTTAGGTTTAATAATCTTACTCATTAACTGTTTTTTAATTAATAGAGATGACATTTAAATTTACCATAAGTGATAGTGTTCTTCTACACTTCTCATGCCGAAATGTATGGTAAATGTTAACCACAAAGTGTTGATGATTGACTGTGGTGAAGAAAGACCTAGTTGGCCGGTATCATAAAGCCTGTCAATCTCTTCATCTGTTATTGGTTGGGCAGCATTTTCTTTGTTGCCTTTACCTGATTTTTTCAGATTTTTTGTTTTTGCCTGAAATTTACATGCTAATCATTTTGTTGTTTGAAAAATAGCTGATTTATATCATGATTATTTGTAGAAAATTAAGATCATTTAAAATTAAAAAGCAAAAATTCATTACAGGCAATTTTTTTTTAATTATAAGTGAAACAAGTCCAGGGGGGGAATTAGTTTATAATGATGAAATACATGTATCTTGAAATTCACTTTTTTGCTGGATTTATTTAATTTCCAAAAGATTATTGAATAGATGTAATAAATTGTAATTACCGATTTAGTCTGATTTGTTAGGGGAAATCCTTGTCTTGAACTTTTGGCTATGGTAAATTGGTACCCATTTTCCTGGAGAACTCTGTCAAATGTAGATATGTACCCTCATAAACTACTCGGCTCGTAGTCTGTTCCATCTTCTTTCTTAATGGAGAGAAGGAACATGGCAAGAAGCTCATCCAGCTCCGTCATTGGGATGGAATGGAAATCTCGTGTTTCGTTTTTTAGTTTGAGAAAAGTTTTTAGCCTGTTTATATGTTGGTTAGTTTTACGTTTTGTATGCTGATTTTTTTCCGACTCGTTAAATGCCTTTACAGAGTCCATATCAACCATTATAAAGCCTTTGTTAATATTTTCAGAGGCAACATCAGTAAGGACAGGCACAGCACTGTGATTTTCATCAACTTGAGGATATTGATCAGATGCTGCTTGAGAACATTGAGCAGCAGTTTCAGGAATTTGAAGACATTCAGTTGAAACAGGAGTCTTCGAATACTCGGACAGCTGAGAATCAGTCAATAACTTTGTAACATTGTATTGTTTTTCTTCATCAAATTCCTCATCAAAGATTGATGGATCAATACCAGTGTTGACTTTAAATTCGTTCTTGTCATAAATTTCTTCAATATTCATCATTTGAACTTCCAACAAATCATCCCAGTGCAAATTGAACGTTGCCATAAAGTTGAAGGATTGTCAAATTAAGATTAAAAAGTGCTTATTTGTATTATTTATAATTATCTTTGTGAAACTTGAGAATGATGTAAATATAATTAATGTTTTTTCCTGTCCTTACTCTGATTTTGTTACTAAGAATTCATCTTTTTTTTTTAATTATTTAATATTATTAATATTATTGTTGTTGTTGTTGTTTTAGATGTCTAAGAGCAGAAGATGTTTTTTAAAGATGTAAGCATCTTAATAAGAATTTGTGTAAATATACCTTTAATTAAAATTAAATCATTTAAAAATCATTATTTATTTTTGTAACATTATTTTTTTTAATAAATATGTTTTATTTAGGCTGTTTTATCTTTTTATTTTTTGCAATGCTTTAAGCTGTTTACATTGTGAAAGTAGTCCGGCAAAAAGTGGGAGGTGCTTGAAAAATCTGATATCCTCTGACTTTTCCATAGGTTTAAGCATGGAAAAGTGTTCTCAAGTCACTGACTGAGAAAGGTTGATGTTCTCAGACAGGCTTTATCAGGCAGTTGTCATAGTAATGGCATGATAACAAAGTATATACCCACACTCACAGAAAACACAGAAGAAACAGGTGCTTCACAATAGTTATTTTCTTTGTTGGTTGTGATTCTTTTTTAAAGTTATACCAATTAACAATCATAATTATGACAGTTTCGTAGTTATATTAGTAAAATCATCCTATCATGCATTATTCAAGTTGCATTAACCAGTAGATCAACCAGCGTTTACGTAAACTACCTGAGACAGCTTACTCACATAAAAGGATCCAAAGTCTTATACCAACAGCCTGGTGAAGAGTGATCCTAACCTGTTTAACAATAACCACTTTAAGCCACACATCATATATGTTAGATATAAATTCATTAATATACTTACGTATTGATGCCTATTATGCAGAGGAAATGAGATGCTAGAAGTTTGAACAAAGGGTGAGACTGAGAGATATTTCTATGAGTGACAACTGTGACACACTCCATTAATAAATAAGGAACCATGAAATACAGAATGAACGTAATAATTATTAATGTTACAGAAAACCTGATTTACAGATACGTAGATAACTCAGGAAAAACAAGATTAATCATATCTTATTCCTTCACTTCAAATGTTTCAGCTACCACATTTTAAGATACTGGAAAGTTTAAATAATTCTAAAAATGAGTTTACATTATGCCTTTATGTGGACTTGAAAACTGTAGCAAATTTCATTCAGCCTAAAATCTAGAATGATTATACCTTTAACTGTGTAAAATATTCAATATAATACTTAAAGAATTATCTTCAGCTTTCAGTTGGTTCAACTGGATCACATCACTGAAATATTATAATACAATAAAGACATAATTGAAAACAATTATAGCCAATTGAAAATATGATAACAGCAAAAATTACATAACTGAAACTATGATGGACGAAAAGAACACATGACGAAAAATAACACTTAAGCAAAGAACACATTACTCATAATTTAATTTTAACAAAGAACATATGACTGAAAAAATCTTATTTCAGAAAAGAACACGTGACTGAAAATATCAACAATGTCTTACATATGATAATGTCAATCTAGAGTTTAAATTCGAAGTGATTTAACTGATAACTGTTTTTGTACATTATGATCATTAAATACTTGATCAACATTTTGAAGGCATGAAAGACTCTGTCGTGAAATTATGGGACTGTGACATATCTATAAATGTGTAGGTAAGAGAAATGTTGGAAGGGGCTAAGAAATATCACTGAAGAATATGTTTCAAAATTGGATAAAATAGATGGATTAAGTTAATGTGCATTAATCGACTTTTAGACATGTGGACAGTTTTACCTTTAATTAAATTTACAAAACGTGTAAGGTTATCATGATTTACGTAATTTATTGATGTCATCACAGAAACATCTACATATTGCTTATGGTCAACTATTAGACAATATGTAAGAGGTTTTCTTTTGATAACAAACAACAATCCGTAATAAAAGCTACAGAATTCAAAATCACGAACACTATATTTCGACTTTCCAGCCAGCTTTATTTCAGGCACAAATACCGCACCTGAATAGAACGATCGACGTTCTGTAAGCTAGCTGGATAGCTTTCTCGCATAAAAATATTCGAAGACGCCAGCGCGGATTTCAACGTCAAATACCCTACGACAGAAAATTTCAGCAAATTTATTAATATTTCTGTCGCTGAACGTAGACATTTTAACAAAAAAAAAAAACAAAAAAAAAAACAAACAAAAAACAAAGAAAAAAAAAACCCCACTTAATATTTGTTTTTATATTTCAGTACTGATATGGATTCATTTTATGTGCCTTTAATCATTCTGACATTTTGCAGAACTGACCAGTCTGCTGGTGTACAACAATAACAAAAAATTTTGAATGTTACCATACTATCCCTTTGTTTAACACTGTAACATTTATATAAATGCCGGTTTTGACAATGCCTTGTGGGCTTAATAACAAATCTCATTATAAATAAAAAAAACACAAACGGAAAACGTAGAAAACTGAAATTAATCTTTATATGCAGATAATCATTGAAGTGACAAGCTAGCAAACCCAAATTGTTTTATATAAACCTTTCCAAGGCTCAAAATGCCCAAGAAAAATATAATTTGTATTTCTCAAAACCTTTTTTTACTTTTGGTACCTTGTAACAGTTTCATAATATACTCATTTTCCATATAGAGGAATTTTCCTCCTTATTTTTTCTTTGTTGGCGATTATTTATAGTGAGTTAGTATTTTGTATAGAAGTTAACATTTTGCTACCTTTACTACACATTAGCTTTTTAACATCTAACTTGCTCTGAATCAATTATCAAACATTATCAAACACATGTTTGATATTTCTAAAGGTAATTAATAATTATGGATTTCTGTATGGAAGTTTAATACAATATTGTCAGTTTAATGTTTTCCAAATCCAATATCTAGTAAATCATATACATTCAAGTAAATACCTATTATAGACTAACCAATTGGAATTGTCCATACAGAAACGATACCTCCATTGCGAATATATTACAGAGTTTCTGCGGCAAGTTCTATTGTCTAATTCTCTTTCTTCAAAGCCAGCAGGGATGACTCTCAGAATGAAACAGATTTATACCATGATTGCTGCCTATGTTATAACTAGTATAAATGGAGGTAAGGGATTTTTAATCGTATATAAACACTTACTTTAATAGTACCTTATTAAAAGTAACAGACATATTTTTTCGCTCTTCTGTAGATTACTAAGAATGTACATGATTCTCAAGATAAGTGTACAGTAATATTTATTGTTCACTTTTCAATAGAGCTAAACTATTTCTTGCATCATTTCTTTTAAACAGAGCTCAAAAATATTAATTACAATATAACACATTACATATTATTAATATTACAAATTCCGCGGATCATTGAACTATTTTAGTGTAGGGCTGCAGGCGGTTCAATAGATAAATATTAAATAGATCGTATAAAAATATATATATATATTTTTATGCTTTTCTGTAGGTAACTGAATTATTTATTGCTTACTTTTCAATACAGCTAGGAACTATTAATGAGTTGTATCATAGGTTGGGGACATTTTCGTTGAAAATCGTATAAATCGTATAAATAACATAACATAGCATTAAATTTATTCAACAGTTATATACATGCACAGTACGTAAACTGGAGTGCAGGTATTAGTTACCCTCACTCCAGAGCATGCCCTTTGATTGGATCATTTTTGCTGGGGTTTACTTATTGTGACGACAAATAAAGGAAAGCGACAGAAATATCATATTCAGATGCTAGTTTATTGGTTACTTGTTATGGGGGTTTCATTTTGTGACAACAGGGAACGTGTTTGTATGTTTGACTATGATACAAAATAGAAAGAATATCAAAACACTTAGCAATCTGATTAATGCTTGGGGGCTACGCCCCATCGAACAAATCAAAAGATAGACAAACTGAAATATTTATTTCTCAATATACTGTTGACATTACGTTATTCAAGATAATTATGTTTATTGTAGATAAAACATAGTTGGTATCGGAAATGAGAAGGTTTATTCGGTGACAGGGAAAGTGTTTCTCGGCAAACATTAGCGAGCCAAGATTCACTTTTGTAGCGAACCGGATAAACATTCGTCTACCCGACAATACAAAAATAATAATTTTCGATTAAAATCCTGCTTATGTCTATTTAGATCATGTGTTTTTAGATTATTTAAACGGTTTCATTCTTACACCTCCCCCAATAAAACATCATCTATATGTATTTTATATAGATAAGTTTATTCGGCTAAATCCAGATTATAATATAAAGAGTAAAAGGATAAAAATCAGTAAAACACATAATTATAATCATGATAATTAACAAAATCTAAGGAAAAATGAAAGCATCACATTTTTTCCAGTGAAGATCTATTTGAAAATTTCATAAACTTTGTTACTATTATTGATTAAATGTGTACAGAAGAATGCATTGACGCCCCATCATACAGTGGTACTCTGAACGTGACACTGGGCGGATATACATGTCAGCGCTGGGACAGTCAACAGCCTCACGAACATGCACGAAACATTCCCGGTGACTTCCCGAATGACGCTTCCGTAAAAGATGCTCATAACTATTGTAGAGACGCTGATGGAACTTGTAAGTCCACACTTACAATCATTACTTACTTTGTATTCATTTATAGATTTTTAAAAATTTAGAATATTTATATTTTGACAAAATTGAGTCGTCAGTGTTTGTTCAGAAATTATTGTAAGAAAAAATATAGAAAGCGCACAAACATAATAATGTTTACTGCATTGTATACTGGTTAAGTGGTTTTGTCTATAATGGGCACATTTTTATAACTTTTTCGAATAGTAATACATACAAAATATCAATGTATTGTCTGGATATTCTTATTAAATATTTGTTTATAAAAGAATTCTAACTATAACTAATTATGATACGACCATAGAAATTGGTTGGCGGCAACAAGTATTTTATGAAAGTAAATGTATCTACATGTTCATTTTGAACGGCGGGAAAGGGGCTGTGTGTGCTTTAAAGGGGTAATTGGGGCCAACACAATTACAAAATAATGTAACAAACTGAAAATATAAATGAAAATAGTTATTGTTGCATAAGTAATAAGAAGGTTTTAGAAACATAATAGTATAAGAAATATTCGTTATGTTTATAGTTATTTCAACTTGATAGGGCAATTTATAAATTATTCAACTTCCTCCCTTACCATGCTCCCGAGTCTTGATTTTAATTTCATTTATAAAACTCAAATCAATTTCATTATTAAAAGTACGAATGTTGATGAGAATTGAAGATCACATCAAATGATGTACCGTGTTAATTTAAACAAGTACTTTAAAATGTCGTCTTCATTCGGGTGATGGTGAAAGAAATTAACAGAATAAATGAAAAATGATGGAGATTGAAACAAACAAATTTATTTTCTTTCAAACTACGACCAGAATGTTAAAACATAAAATGTAGAGTACGTTTAATAAATTAGATTTTCTACGTTCCATATCTTTTTATCTATTTTATACTTATAAATAAAATATTGAACAATATTAAAGAAATAAAATGCAAATTCTTAATTTCCATCGCCTTTTACCAACAGCATTTCAGTCATATAGGCGGGTAGTTTCCTAACCATTGTTCCTGAAGAGTTGCACCAGTACTAGACTACTTTCCTCCGTGCTAAACTACCAAAGCATCTCCCGGGGATCGAACCCACACCAGAGAGGTTACTTGATTAAAAGTCATCGACTCTTACCCCTCGACCAACGGAGGCAGTATTTTTTTTTCACTTTAGCAATATATTTTCACTGCAGTGAAATATATTTTCCGTATTTTCACTTGTGTCTTGACGGACTAATTTCTTCTTAATTCATCCAAAACACAAAATTTAAAAGGAATTATTCCTATCCATTTGGTTATAAACAATAAACCGAAAAAACGTTTTTTTTCTTTTAAAACAGTGTTTATTTTTAGCTTGTGGTATGAAAATTATCATATTTCACCCGTGGCTACTCGTGATGAAAAGAAATCCTGTATTTATAGAAGAAACTTGAATATACTTTTTATATCAAAATGTTAGCCCAGTTTCATATTTGAACATTATTTCCCTCTGTAGCCAGTTAGATAAAGAATCAGAAAGTAAACTGAAAATAAGCTAAAAGACAAATCAATTATACAAACTCATCAGGTTAATGGTTAAAACGGTTACTGACTACATTCAAATTGGAAATTTATTCGTTTACAGATACTCATATAGGTCGCACAGCCATTTTTTGTAAGTCATGTGAATCAAACTTTTCAGATGAACTTTGGTGTTATACAACAGACCCGAAAAAAAGATGGGACAGTTGTTTTAATGAAAGCGATATCTGCAGCGTAAGTTTCATCCATTTCATATAAATCAAGACTCTTCTTATTTCTGAATAGCAATACTGATAACACATTAAAAGGTCTGGTGTAGTATTTCTTAACTTAATATATATCAGGAAAATGAATTTAATTATAGTCTACAGTTTTTAACTGAAGATAAAATCATTTGTTAACAGCCACGGTTTTAAGTTTGTCCTTAAGTTGGATTTACGTCCCAGGACTTAGGATACACATAAGACATTTTATGAAACGCAGCCCTGTTTTCGAACAACTAATCATTCATTCAGCAACATTCAGAACGTTTACTATATCAATCTGGTGAGGGCAATAGAATTTTGCAATAACATGTCCTTTCAGACATTAAGCACTTTTGTTATTGTCATTTAGTTTACTTTCTTAATGCATCTACATGATCATTTCTGCGCTTCACTAATATTACCTCTTGTAGCCATATCAATCATAGCAAGAATTTTGCTTGGCGGGGATTCCTCGTTTAAAATGAACATGTTTGGGCTAAAAGTGTCACCTCCCTTTCACGTAGCTTTGACCCGTTTTCCTATACCCTTATCCTTTTGCAGGTCCTTTCTTTAATTACCTTGCTAATTTCTATGATTTTTTTATTTTTGAATAAATTATAATGACATCGTAATTTGTACATGTACTAATAAAACTAATCTTTTGTTCAGTATCTCTTAATTTGAAAATTAATGGTTACTAATAAAGGGAGATCTCTTGGTAGGAGAATATTTTGTTGTTTATTATAATAACGAATTTAAATTAAGCGAGATCCATTTTCTGTTCAGGCCAAAATAATATTGATGGGTTCTGTTTTGTCAGATAGTGTGTAGAATAATTGTCCTTGAAGTATTTTTTGCCATAATGACAAAACCGTGATAAAAAATAACAATGATAGTCAGGATTATGAAGACTAATGATTGTTTGTTCCATTCTATATACTTATCACCCATATTATATCTTATCAAATTAACAACAAAAATCCCGGTCTCTGACAGATTTAATTTACAAACTCATGTCAAAGTGCTGAAAAATCCTAAATAAGAATACGTTTCCATATAAGGAAATTCGTTAAATAGATAAGATACAAGAAAAATATTTTGATTTATTTTACGATATAAAGCAAAATGTTACTTTTATAGAGAGCAAACAATATATACGGTAGTACATCAGTTAGTACGTAACATAATATCTTACCTTTGTTACATATCTTCCATGATTTTGTATTATGATTTTATTTTTTATCATATACGTGCAGATTATGCAAAATGTCAAACTTTGTCAAAGAACAAAAATTCCACACACTGCCCACACGACACATTCGTTTACTTGTGCAAAGCATGTGGGGAATCGGTGTAACTTTTCAAAAGTATTTTGTATGATTTGGAATGCGAGACAAATAAATGTTGTCCTCCTCATCCTACGACAACTCACCATTTTGTAACAACATTTCAGTTAAGCACGGGTTCTCCCGGACAAAATGAAGCATCAACAGCATGCTGTCAATCTACTCTTAGTCTTTTGAAGTCAACGTTGAAAGACCATACATCCAATTCAGGCAAACGTGAAGGGTCTACATTAGCTGCCAATACCTCTGCAGAAATTGCAACACCGTCTTCAAGTGGCAAAGGTTGGATTTGTAGCTTCTACTTGTTTCCATTTGCACTGTTAATGGCGTTATTGTCTTGCAGCTACATGTACCAAAATAATCTATGAGTATCTTTAGTCAACGCAAAATTTTGAACAAAAGACTCTTTTAAACTAAATAACGATTATGTCTTTTTCTGTCAAATAAGGTCATGTTCTCACGTGCATTGATGTTTTCATTATCAGATTTTATTAGGTATATTTTCTGTAGCGTCTTACAGTATTGTGGGCCAAACAAAATCATTAAATTATTAAAACATATCTTACCATACGAATGGTTTTGATTTGTGTTTAATCTTACCCAACTCCGTGTACTCTTATTATACAAGATATTGCGCCTTTGTTCATTTTGCCATATCATGGATATTAAAACTATAAATTTATAACAACAATAATTAAAAAACTGAAATTTTAATATAAAAAATACATTTATATATAATGTAAAAGAAAAATAAATTGCAGTATCAAATGTAGAAACTTTAAACTCTATACTGTACTCGTATATCATATCTTATATATTAAGATTAAAAAGAATGAAATAATGTCAGTGATTATTTTCCTTAAAATACACAAAGAAGAAAGTTTCTGTTACTCTTTGTTACCATAGAAATACATAGAAATATTATATCCATGCTTTTTAAACTTTGCACGTATATTATTTCTACCTGCTTCACCTAAGGGGACATTAGGTCTATCCGACCGTCAGTCCGTCATTATGCCCTTTTCAATAAATTTGGATCCAGTCATCTTTCAGAAAGTACAAACAAAAAGCTCAACCGATAACCTTTGATAAAATTTAGATGTGGGACAATAATGAGATTATGATATTCATTTTCATTTTTATTAGTCGCAAGAAGAAATGCGAATCCTGCTAGATGCTTAAACTCAAAAGGACAAAGGTAATTTGTTGATACGAACATCATATTTTATATCCATTAGTGTAACTGTTATTCCATTTTTCTGTCTGAAGAAATCTGGATTCTTCCTTAACTCAAAAGTAAGAAAGCTAGGTTGGTGAAACATAGTGTGAAAAGGGCATAAAGGAGATTAGGCACTTATGTATTTTTCACATCCGTTCGATTGTTTGTCTGTCTGTCATTCTGTCGGTCTACAGAAATGTTGATAAAGAACAATATGTAAATTATGCCCCATTTTATTGTTCATCTATCCGTCTATCTGTCTATCCGTATGTGTGTCTGGTATTCAATTTGTCCATACAAATCTTGAGCTTGTTTGAAAGAATACAAAAACTAGGTTGATTGTACTTGTGTAGATAGGGAATAATATGGATATTATACACATCATTATAGTAGTTTATCGTAGGTGCGGTTTCTATGACTATGGAAAACGAATGAAACTTAATTCACCAAGAATAAAGATCAACACGGCAAAGACAACGTTCATGGGACGCAGCCACCGACATCGACATCTGACTTGCAGAAGCCGAAAACATAAGACTATTTCAAGAAGTGCATAATTACATCAAAAGTAGTAGAAGATTTACCTAATTTTGTTTACACATATACTATATTTACTTTCATATTAAGTTTATTAAAATAATGCTGCAAATCAAGGTTTGGTGCGTTTATTATAGTGGCAAATTGTTAATGGCATATATTTTTTTTTCCATTTTACCTCATTAAGTCATTTTGTAATTTTCTTTGTTTTTTAGGTTAAGCGATTCTTTTCTACCAGTTAAAATACATGAAATTAATATCGCTTATCATATAAATAAATATCTCAGAATTTCTAAAAACCACATTTACTTACTATGTTACCATTAAGCCAACAAGATAGACCTTCAGGGGAGGACCCTAGATTATGTTGGTATAACTTTTGGTCCAACCCTTTTGTATGTACATTATATTCATGCTTAAGATATTGATGTTAGATTGTGTAAATTAATCATGTACAAAATATGCAATAAAATATTATTAAACTAAGCCACCGACACACCCAAATAGCAAACAGAAGGCACCAAACCAAAACCGGGAGTGGAACCAAGGGCGGCGAAAGGAGAGGGACACATAATGTGTGAAATAACGGGCCCACATGGGCATTAAAGGGACAAGGGCTTTAAAGGTGAAAGGGGGAGGTAAAAAATGAGAAAGGGGAAGGGAGAGAAAATACCGTCAAGGACAATTCAATAAAATAAAATTCGATCAGTGGTAGTTAAACCACTGTGCAGTTTAAACAGGTTTTAGCACATCATATCTCACTCTTAGCCCCAATATGTTCCTTAATAACACACACAAAAAATAACACAAAAGTGTAAATAAAAATAATCCCCGCCAGAATCACATTACTGACTTTGTAAATATGTATAAAAATGAAACCTAATGACCACTACCCTAAAAGGAAGACAGCAGAAAAATTACTATGACCCATGATCCATGATCCTACGAAGTTTGTAAACCACATCTTCATAGTAATCAAGTTTGTCAATACCTAGTCGTAAAAGAGTTTTCAAATTGCAATGAAATTTTAAAACTTAATCTGAATTACGATGGTAAAACTTAGTAAAATATTTACGCAATTTATGATAGCGGTAGCATTGTTTAAGAAGCGTGTAAGTAATAAATAAATTGCGTTAATTAAAATCATCAACATGACTGCTTTACAATATTTAAATTAACATATCTCTTTTATCGTAGATTAAAGTCAACTCCCGGCTTTATATTGATTAAGGTAGAGAATCAGATAACATTATACCGCGAGAAGATTCCTACATTGCCTGTGACATTTTAACCTTTTTTTCTTAGGTTTGCCTTTTTATGTTGTATGTTAAATCAATATAGCCCCTACAAAGAAGAAAGAATAATAATTTGCTCAAACGTTGAGCAGACAATAAGTAAAGCGATTTGATTAAATATAACACATTTAATTAAGAAATGTTAAAAATGATACGTATTAACCTCTCCTTACATATAATGGTTAGAATTAAACATGTGTAAATCACATAAATATATCTTCATAACCTCTGATCCCCTTTCAAAATTCCATTTTATTTAGTTCCGCCCATTGTTTTCTCGTTTAGGGCACACGCTTTTTATTACTTGGGGACCATACGCCGCTTTTCATGGAATGGCACGGAAGTGTCACATTGAAGGTTCCATGATAACCGCCGTATGAACACATCTGCGGATGTTTCTAAATTCAAAATTTTACTATTTCATGTTTAAATGTTGAATTCTGCTTAAGCCGGTGCTAGGGGGCGTGGACGGTAACTTGCACTTTCCAGTACCGTCCATGAACAGGCTCAATCAAACCGAGCCTGCAACATTTTCAATTTTGCCGTGTTGGGCTTTCTTTAGGGATTCTGTATTTATCTATTTTGTAATTGTATGTGTTTATGATGAAGAAACAAGAATAATAAAGCAACGCAATGGGAGATTGTTAACTGGTGAAGAAACATAGAGATAATAATGGTTTATTAGTAAGAATTAATTGAACAAAGAAATATAAATGTAAATTATTTATACAAGTCATAGTCACCTTGACCTTTGATCCCTCAATCCAAAAACAATAGGATCATCTATATCCCAAGGACAGGCGGTTATTAAGATTGAGAGCCGGGGCCTATGGGTTGTTGTGTTATTCATTGAAAACCGTTTCGGCATTCTAGGCAACCTTGATCCCCTAGCCCGCAACCCCCTTCACTTAAAACATAAGGTTAATTTACTGCCCTAGACCAATACTCTTATAATGTTTTAAGCGAAGGGTACACCGATTGACAAGTTCTTTTACGGAAACCGCTTTTGCAAACAAGGTAATTGTGATTAGAACTTTGAGCCCTTGATTACCAAAACAATGCAACTGTGCAGATTAAAAGAAAAGGGCCCATTGAGTGTTAAGTAATTGGTCCGAAACCGTTTTGACATACGAGCTCAATGTGACCTTGACCTTTGAGTCATTGACTCCTAAATCGATTTTTGTTATGTACTGGTCAATTGACATTAGAGGGGGAAAGGCATTTTGAATATCTAACCCCCGTTTTGGCATACAATGTCAACGTGATCATTACCTTTGAGGTATTTTCATTCTTAACGTTCTTTACATCCCAAGGCCAATGCACCTATTTGGTTTTAGGTCAGGCCAATGCACCTATTTAGTTTTAGGTCCCATGCGTTCTCAAGTTATTGAAAAATGTTTGATTTGGGGATCACCAGACAGACTAAACGACATCAAGCAGCAAAAACAATATGCCCACTTATTTAAAGGGGACACAATAACACAAGAGTTATTAAAAATGAATTTAGCATGTAGAAAATAAACATCTTTTATCAATTAATCAAAATAACATTGAAATCAAAATTCTTCAAACAGAAAAAAAAACAAAACAGAAAAAGAATTAAAAAAACTTAAAGTCAGGTCAAATTCTGTATTCCTACTTAGCCCATGTAAAACACTAAATATCTTTAATTGACTTGGTAACTCGTCAATGTTTACTAAACCATATTTTCTAGTGATAATTTTGGCGAACGTGCTAGTTTATAACTAATTCATTTTTCCAGCGACCACGGAAAGACAACAGTGCTAAGATAAAATACTTGACATGCTATGTTTAAATAACAAATTCTTGATGTTGCTTTTGATGAAAGAAATTTCATTTAAAAGTGTCACAATTGAGCAATTTATGAAATATGAAATTGCTTATTGTCATACATCTAAATCTACTTGTTTTCATAGTATCTTCTGGTGCAACAAAATCATTTATGTATGAACTGTACTCCATCAATGAAATAAATGGAAATGTCATATCTAGTTTTAAAGCAAGTTCTGTTCAAAAGTGTGTAGCCTTTGTGATACCATGTATGGATGTCTGTCTGTTTATTTTCACAACGAAACTCAACACTGCAACATTACTTACTATTATCCGTTAGATAATATAAAGTCAGGGATACCAAGCAACGTCTGGACTATTTTCTTTCGAAGAAATTTGGTGAGTGTTTTGATTTTTACGTTCTAAAACATTTTTGTGACACCTGTTTTATATAACGGACAAAACATCGACGAGATTCTGAAGCAGTCATTAATGTAAATAATTTAAAATATAAAAACATTTTTCATTACAATGTTATTTAATCATTTCTGTCGCACACACAAAAATAAAAAGTCAAATACTTTAATATGTATCATAACTTATGTATAACAGAGCACATGGAATATCTATCCGGAATCGGATAGTTAATAGCCCATCAGTTTAACGGAAGGAAGTCAAAGTAGATCAAAGGGTAGCACAATACGCGTACAGTTAGACTGGTGAATGGAAATAATGAAAATCAAGATGATTGTTCAGGACAAAACAAAGCAAATATAGAATATCTATTTTCCCTCAATCAAATATCAATCCTAAAATTTAAAATATGTTTTACCCCAATGTTAGTT